TGGGTGGCTCAGTCAGTTAAGCGTCCGACTTCCGCTCAGGTCACGATCTCGCAGTCTGTGAGTTCAAGCCCCGCGTCGGGCCCTGTGCTGACAGCTTGGAGCCTGGAGCCTGCTTCGGATTCTGTGTCTCCCTCTCTCTCTGCCCCTCCCCCGCTCATGCTCTGTCTCTGTCACTCTCAAAAATGAATAAATGTTAAGAAAAATTTTTAAAGAAAAGAAAGGTAGCATGACCTTCCTTCAGAACGAGCACATGTGTTACAAGCACATTAACTTTGAGAACGAGAAAGTAGTTTTGCGGGGACGGTGGGGACAGGGCTGTGGTTACTTTGTGATGTACTTTGGATGCTCTTTGCTCTGCTGCTTTACCGACGGGAGAGGACAGCAGCAGTGTGGGATTTCTGTTAGCAGACACCACAAGTGAAATTTCATTTCGTGTTATGTTTGAAGTCAAAGTTTGCACCTCCAGACTTTGGAAAATATTCCAAAAAGTGAATATTTAGAGAGCAGTAAGCTTACATTACTAAATATACTGGTGTGATCCACATTTTCCTTGAAATGTCCTTGCAATTTAAGAAAAAAGTGGCACTTGGTGGTCTTTCACACCATATACACATTGTATTTGTTTAAAGTAAATTTTGAGAGAAAGTAGTTTGTCATAAATACGACATTATAATGAGGATAGTTAACAGATGGGTATTTTTGATCCATGTGAGAGCCGTTTTGATCAGAACATTAAATGTACTCAGGTAATTAGTTATCACTTTTCGTCTATCCCCAACAGGAACTAAATTGAGCTTGTTTGGCTCCTCCAAAAATGGATTTGGGTTCAAACAGAGTGACCTTGACGTCTGCATGACAATTAACGGGCTTGAAACCGCGGAGGTATGGTGACCACGTAAAACTCAAATCTGCTGCAGCAGTGTGATTTGACCATCTTGACTGACAGGACATCTTGGTATTTTCCACATCTACCAGAGCATACCATACGGAGCATGCCATGTGGCACAGTCTCTCTGGTCAGATACTTAAGAAGCTTAGAGGTAAACCTGAGGAGCACCGAAGCTTGTCTTTTCCACCCACGGTACAAAGTGCCTTTGGAAGTGACCTGTGGGAACGTGACAAAGCCAAACCAGCCCCCGCAGGGTCCCCCTGGCGTAGCCCAGAGGCTGACTTTGCCACACACACCCCATATAAGACTTCTTGAAAAGTTTTGAGGAGGCAGACAGTGTGGTTTTCTGAGATGGTTTTTAGCAGGCAGTCAAATGGGATTCGATGATAAGAGTGCTAAACTTACAGTTCAGAGACCCAGATTCAAGACAGACTTGGTTTCATGAGTTCCTAAACATGTGGTCTTTGGTTGATAAACCTAGAAAATGAAAAGGATCATTTCTGTTCCTCTTGCCCCCAGAGATTGTTGTGCACATCAGCTTGGATCACGCCTGTCAGGAGTCCGCAGACTAGGGCCCACGGGCTAAACCCAGCCACGGGCATATTTTGTCAGTACAGGTTCATTAGAACACAGTCACACCCCTTCACTTGTGACGCAGTTACGGCTTCTGCTTTTACTTGATAACTACCGAGTCAAGTACTTGCAACAGAGTCGTATGATTTGCAAAGCAGAAAAGGTTTGCTGGCCCCTGACAGATATGAAATCCTGCATAAAGGTATAAAGTCTAAGAAGTGCTAAGTCCCTTTCTTTTTTTATTTTTCACAACAGTCCAAATGCTGTATATCCAAATGAGTGATGCTGCTGTCACTCAAGGTCTTTTTTATGTTTTTCCTTATTTTCAAGTCTTTGTCTTTTGAGGATGTATCTGATTTGGGGAAAATAGCCAAAAGTTACCTACCCTGAGTTTGGTGAGTGAAGAGGATAAACAAGGTTGGGTCCGATATGTGGAATTACCTTATTGCACATCATCAATAATGAATTTTTACATGGCTTATAAAACTAGCTTTGCGGGCATTTCTGAAGTAAAATTCCAAATATGTTCTGCGATGTGTATAACCATCAAAAGGGCTTATGTTGTAAAATGTCGACCTGCTGTTATTAAGTATGATTTATTTGAAACATTGGTATTTGCTACATGACCTTGATTCGCCTCGTCCTGTGGAGAGAGCATCTAAGCTTCATTACTTTCCACAGCAGTTCTTGTAATTGAAAGATAATGAAAGTCCATCCAGAATGAATAAGAGGGGCCACAGAAGCTCCCTCTTACTTATTCTGGCACAGAGGGTACTTCTGAGTAACATGGTTACAGAGAAGGGGAAATGGAGGTCCTCATGGTTCAGACTTTTCCAGGTGCTCTGATTTCAGCCTTTGTTGTACAATTAGTAAGTGAGGGCTGCAGGGACCTTTTGTATCTTCAGGATATTTCCTATGAATACTGACCAAGGCTTGCCTAAACGAGAAAAAAATCTATATAGATGGGTTGAACTTATTATTTCTAAAGGTAATGGAAACTATTTGTTACCAGGTTAGGAACCTGTCTTCCATTTTCGATTCAGTATGTGCACTTTTTGTTGCAGGGGTTGGACTGTGTAAGAACTATTGAAGAATTGGCAAGAGTCCTCAAAAAACATTCAGGTACCTCTACAAACTTTTTCCAAAAATAGTCTTGTCTTTTTATTTATTTTTTTTTTAATTTTTTTTTTTCAACATTTATTTATTTTTGGGACAGAGAGAGACAGAGCATGAACGGGGGAGGGGCAGAGAGAGAGGGAGACACAGAATCGGAAACAGGCTCCAGGCTCCGAGCCATCAGCCCAGAGCCCGACGCGGGGCTCGAACTCACGGACCGCGAGATCGTGACCTGGCTGAAGTCGGACGCTTAACCGACTGCGCCACCCAGGCGCCCCAGTCTTGTCTTTTTAATTAGTGTTTTGCATCCTTAGAATTCATCAATGCCAGTGAAACCATAGAGTGGCTCATCGGTAGCACATGTGCGGTATTGGTCTTTAAAAAATTTTGTCATTCAGTATGAAAGACTGAGGGAATCAGTGGTCATTGGTGTGCATATCGTTGCCTGGCTCAGTTTTATTTCAAAACAAGCATATACCATACAGGCAAGAAATTTTGGAAATCTTTTTTCTTTATTGACCTTGTATTACCCAAAGTGTAGGGGTTGCTGACAGCAGCGTGAAGTACATGGAAACCACTGGGGGCTTCTGGATTGTATTTGTAGCTGTATTGCTGGACAACTGTATGCAACCCTGAACAAGTCATCTAACTTTACTTGATCCCTTGCCATCGATAAATTGAGAAAGCTATAAAATGCATAGATGCTATGAATAGTGCACGGTGCTGACATGCCATTGACATGTTCTTTTGCTGTCAGGGACAGCTGTGGATGCTGTTAACAGTGAGAATCTTCTTTTAAAATGTGATGCAGCAAATTTCTGTGCTAGGAGCTGGGAGCTGGGAATGAAGGTGAACAAGATATGGTCCGTACCCTCACGACACTTAAAATCCATGATGTGTCCATCAAAAGCTTTCTTTTATCTCAGTCAAGAGTAGACTTAAGTTAACATCATGGGCAGTGCACACATAGATACACAAACGTACACCGTGAGTGCTATCTCCCCTTTTTGTTTTATATTTTTTATTTCCAGGAGTTTAAATAAAAAGGGTACCATGTTACTTCCATAACAAGATAATCTTAATTTTGGTTTATTTCTTCTGAAAGTTAACCTGGAGCATCAGTATTTTTTTTTAATAACATGCATTGATGTAATTGTTTTTGTCATCGAAAATAAGTGTTCCCCTCACTTAGGAATTTTACCTCTAAAGATCATGAGCTTTTTAAATTTTTTTGAAGGGTATGCAAAGAAACTAAATTGCTAAGTTGCCACAATTATTAATTATTTGTACTGAGCTAGATTTTGACTTTTTATTTTGAAATAATTTGAAAATTAAAGCAGTAAAAATTTTATAAAGAATGCTGCATGTACTTCATTCAGATCCCCCAGTTGTTAACATTTTACCACATTCGATACTCATTCTGTCTCTTCCTTGCTCACAATTTTTTTCTGTACCATTTGGGATTAAACTGCAGATACCATGTTCCTTTCACCTAAATACGGCAGTGTATATTTCCTAAGAATGAGCCATTGTTAAAAACAGGTCATTTTTAGGGGCACTCGGCTGGCTCAGGAGGTAGAGCACTCAACTCTTGATCTCAGGATTGTAAGTTTGAGCCTCATGTTTGGTTATAGAGATTACTTAAAAATAAAATCTTTTTTCTTTTTAAATGTAAAGATTTTTTTTTTTAATGTTTATTTATTTTATTTTGAAAGAGAGCGTGAGCTGAAGAGGGGCAGAGAAAGAAGGAGACAGAGAATCCCATGCAGACTCCGCACTGTCAGCGCAGAGCCCAGTGCGAGGCTCGAACTCACAAACCATGAGATCATGACCTGAGCTGAAATTAAGAGTCAGATACTAAACTGACTGAGCCACCCAGGTGCCCTGAAATCTAAGTCTCCCAAACTATCTTATTGGGTGCCTACTATGTGCTCAGCACTGTATGGGGCACTTGGGGATGGTGGAGCAATAAAAATAAGTCTACAGAAGTCTTTTCCTTGGACAGCTTTCAGATCTTACAAACAGGAAGGTAATCTCACAGACCATGTAACACTGTAAGGTAGTATTCATTTTTCAGAATGAGTCAGAAGCTGCAGTAAGTGTTTGGTAAGTTCTAAGGGGAGAGAAGTTCTGGGCAAGAGTTGCATAGGGGAGATTCATGTAAGAGATGGGTTTATTCTGATCTCAGAGGATGATGAGTATGATTCAAAAAGGATAAAAGAGAAGTCATTCCTAACGGGACGTGCACCTGAACGTGAGCGTTGCTGTAGTATATTTTGGAGTGTCGACAGTGGGAAGATCAATACACTTAGAGAGGAGTTTCAAGTGGTTACTATTACTATATAAAGGAAAGCCCACAGATATTTGGAAACCAGTGAAGTTTCTCCAAGAGAAGAGCAACCCAATAAAAACTAAGCTTTTTAGGCAAGTGGTAGAGTCTCCCAGGGCAGGTATAATCTAAGTGAATTCAGGTTAGAAGGACCGTAACTGAAACGAAAAGGATAGGAGAGATTCCCGAGGGGAAGTTTCCTAGATTTGGTACCTACAAGTAAGAACTAAGAGTTCAGGCTAATGTCTGGATACTTGGGAAATGGGGACGTTTGCAGAGAACAACATGTGGAGGTGTTTAGTTTGCCATAAAGGTTTAATTTCTAAGAGTCCAGCAAGCAATTGGAAATACAGAGTTGTCAGGACTGAAGAACAAAAGAAAACAGTTTTGTATTGAAATCCTTGAAGAAAGAAAGACGAAGAATAAGACAATTGTAAGGGATCATTTGAGAGAAGTTAAGGACTAGGCCTTAATTTCTGTGGGTAGAAATTAAGAAAGGACACTGAAAAAGGAGCCCTTGGACTGACAAGAACCAGGATGATGTGCTGTGGATAAATCCTAGAGGACAGGCTGGTAATGGGACAGGCTAGTGTCAAATTCTAGAATGGGAAGGAAATGGAGTAAAAGGCTATCTAATTTAGAGGCAGGGTAACAGAGTAGTTGGTGGGGGTTCTGGAATCAGATTCTCTGCTTTTAAACCTTGGCTCCCTACTTATTGGCTGTGTGTGCCTGGAAAGACACTCAGCCTCATTGTAAGTGCTCCGTTCCTCATCTTCAAAAGTAGATCAGCAATAATGGGATTTAAGGTTAAGAAAGGTGTCGTACATTTAAGTACGGCATCTAGCATGCGCGAGGTGTTCAGCAGATTCGAACGTCAATGTAAGTTAGACCTCCCCTGTCTCCTACACAGATGTATTTTTCTGTAATTTCTTCTGTCATATACATACTTTTTCCCTGAGCTCTGGATCACTATGCATCTGCCCTCTAGATATTGCCATTTACCTTTTTGAGAAAAACCTCAAACTCCATCTCAGAATGAGCTCCTCTTTACTGCCTTCCTTCTGCTGCAACCCGCTCTTCCTTCTGAATCCACTTTCTTGGTCATTGACATTGACATCCTTCGACCCACCAAAATGGGTCAAGTGGTCATTCATTCGTCCTAGAATAGGTTCAGTAGAAATTTGGAGTTGGTCACACCCACACATGAATCTTGGCTCCGCAGCTCACTAGCTGCATATTCCTTTTTTTTTTTTAATTTAATGTTTATTTATTTATTTTGAGAGAGAGTGGCGAGTAGGGGAGGGGCAGAGAGCAAGGAAGAGCGAGAATCCGAAGCAGGCTGTATGCCATCAGCCTGACTCCAGACTCGATGTCATGAACCCTGAGATCGTGACCTGAGCTGAAATCAAGAGTCAGATGCCTAGCCAGCTGAGCCACCCAGGTGCCCCACTAGCTGCATATTCCTAAGCAAGTTACTTTCTCTGGGGCTCTTTCAATCTGTTGGGTGAAGGTGATTAGTCTTAGCAGGTAATGTTTGTGAAGGATCCTCGGAGATCAGGAACCAGTAGCTTTTAACCCTTAACAGCAATTCCTTCTCGCTTATCCCCCACCCCCCACCACCTCCACTTCCCCAGCCCATCCAGGTACACCTGCTCTCAAGCCTGTCTTGCTGCTTCTCTGCATCTCTGTGCCACCGTGGTAATTCAGGTCCAGATCATTTTTTATAATGGTCACTCTGCCTCCATTCCGGGTGCCTCCAGTCTGTCCATAGCCAGGGGCATTGTCCGAATAGATATGGCCAGTGATTCTTCCCAACTTATACAGTTCATTGGTATCTATTTGCCTGTAAGGATAATTCTTAGCAGGATATATATGTTCTCTATTTGGGCCCTTCCTGGTTTCTACCCCATCTCCTATCACTCATTCCTTTCCGTCAAGTCGACTCAATAGCCTTCACAATCCCATGGAAGTTCTCGAACATCCTTTCTGCTTTAGGCATTTGCCCTGTCCTTATGTGCTTTTTTTTCCCTTGCCTCCTAAATCCCCTCAGCCGCCTCTGTTTTTAACCTGTTGCTCTCCTTTTTCAAAGCCTGGTTCAGGCAATTCACTCCTCCTATTGAAGTTGATTCTGTTCTTTTACTGTCTTCTAGCTCCATGATGCGTAACTTTTGTTTTGAGGATTCAGATGATCACCCTGTAGGCTTTTCTCTGTATTAGATATAGTCACGTGGAGAGAATAGATAGGGCCCGAGTAGTCTAGACTCTGTAGTAGTTTCTTCTGTTCTGGTGTTTATCAGACTGACAGCCCTATACACATGCACATGATCCAGTGAATTCCTGGAGGACAGTGGCTACCTCATTCATCATTGTACTTCAGATATCGATGTTTTTAACAAATACAAACTTTGCCAGAAGAGTCTTCCCAGATGTTTAGTAACAGAATCGAGTATTCCTAGTGACTGCAGTGAAACTAGCCAGAGTTCGGTTTACATTGTCTTATTTTGGGATATTAACATAAGAACCGCTTATGGCCCCAGCTGCTGTATTTAACAGTACTCTCTTATTCCTAACCTAGGTCTTAGAAACATCTTGCCTATTACAACAGCAAAGGTGCCAATTGTAAAGTTCTTCCATTTGAGAAGTGGTCTGGAGGTGGACATCAGCTTGTATAACACACTGGTAAGATTTTCCCCAGGACTTTTCTTTAGGGAGAGGAAAGGGAACGAATGGCTCTTAATTTACAAAATAGCAAGTAAAATTAAGCCATTCCTTTGATCTTATTCGTTGTTTTCATTAGGAGTGTTTGCCTTTTGCCTGGCAGACTCTCTTAACAAAGAGTTAAGATAGTATTTATTTATTATGAGGTCCGAGCGGCAGGTGCTTTTTGTTTGGCTTGAATTTTGTTTTAATTTTGGACTGTGTGTGTGTCTTTGGTCTCACACTGTTTCCTGCAGGGCTTTCTGGACCTTCTCTGGATGCTACGGGCATTCAGTGTAAATAATGCCAGGGTGAAGTAGGGGATCCTTACGTCTACATAGATGGAATTATTTTAATAGCCCTTATTTCTAGAAATGTTCAGACTAAGGACATATTAACATGAAAGTCATGAGCTCAGATGTCATGTATAATTCTTATTATTTAGTAAGTTAATGAAGCTCATCTTTGGGGGAAAATACTCGTGTCAGTCTAAATGTCTTCAATCTAAAGTGAATTACACTGTAAACCTTTTCAGAATATTCCAGTTTAAATTTTTTTCTTCTATTTGGTAACTTACAATTTTCCTTTTAACAGGCCCTTCATAACACAAGGCTCTTATCTGCTTATTCAGCCATTGATCCCAGAGTGAAATATTTATGCTATACCATGAAAGTGTTTACAAAGGTGAGTATGTTTCCTATTGTGATTCATTAGAAATTTCGTTGCATCTTCAAACTTAGTTGAAAACATGTCTATATTTTTTAAAGAATGATAGCCATGTTAAACGCTTCTTTTAACTAGTTTGGGAACCCTGCTGTGGCAAGCTAAAATTTTGTTGTCTTAAGTTTTACGTACGATAATCTAATCTTGCTAGTGGCTGATGGTTGGGGGTTTTTGTTTTTGATGTCCTTCTGGTTGGTCTTTGGCATTTGAAAATGTAACTTTTTTGTTAATGCCCAATAGAAGCATTTTCCCTTTAGTGATAGTAGAATAGCTGCAAATTTAGCAGGAAACATTGGTGATCTGTTCCTCATTTTCCTTCCCTCTAGATGTGTGATATTGGTGATGCTTCTAGAGGCAGCTTATCGTCATACGCATACACGCTTATGGTGCTATATTTTCTCCAGCAGAGGAATCCACCAGTCATTCCTGTCCTTCAAGAGGTATTAGTAAAAGAAATTGTGTTTCTCATCTGTAAAACTGGGTGATCTTTGAGCCCTCTTCCTTCTCTAATATTCTGTGATTCTGTAGTTAAATTTTTAACTATTTTCCTACAAGTTTTTGTATCAATGCATTAAATTTGTAATCCATACTAATAGTTTAAAAATTAATTTCAGATATACAAAGGTGAAAAGAAACCTGAAATATTTGTTGATGGCTGGAATATTTATTTTTTTGATCAAATAGATGAACTGGTACGTATTTTAAGAGTAAAGATTTTTTTACATCCTTGACTAGAAGTTAGCTGTACTATGCTGTGCTGTAATGGTCAACAACTATGTTTTCACTTGTTATATTTATTTATATTATGATAGTAAAAAAACTAGCATATATAGATGTTTCCTTTGAAGTTGAAAACATTTTCATTTTAATAAAAATGAAAACATTTTAATTAAGTCAGGTGAGTTTCCAGGGACTATATGTAGGATTTCTTTAATGCCTGTTAATTCCAAATGGCTATGTAGCTTTATTCCAAATGAACAAATATTTGCTAAGTGGTTTTCTGCAAACAGTTTGGAAAGACTTTCTTTGAGTTCAAAGATCTAATAACCCAGGCATCATCAAGGCTCTTAAAATCTATTTCCAGATTCTTCCACAAACATGCACTCTGGGGTTTGACATTTAAAACCCTGAGCTTTCCCTATCTCCAGGCCACAGGGTAGAGATTAATAAAGTCATGAAAATGGTATTTTAAAATGTGAAAGAAAAGTTACAGAATTATATTTTTATGTATTTAAATTCCTTAATAAGTCCAAACTTACTCCCTAAGATACAAATGAAGATAGATATTAACACTTTACTATAGAGCATGATATCTCTGTTGCCTTCTATTTCTAGCCCACCTATTGGCCAGAATATGGGAAAAATACAGAATCTGTTGGGCAGCTATGGTTGGGACTTCTTCGATTCTACACAGAAGAATTTGATTTTAAAGAACATGTTATTAGCATCAGGAGAAAAAGTCTGCTTACAACTTTTAAGAAACAGTGGACTTCAAAATACATTGTAATTGAAGGTACAAATAAAATGAAGCTTAAAATCGAATAGAATATAGAGTTTGAACTAGGAGGGCATCGTTCTCCATCCCTGCAGAGAACGGCAGGGAGCCACCAGCTGGGATGTGCAGCACTGCCATTCTGTTACTGTCCACATCAGCACACTTGTCTGTTTCCAGGATGAAGAGTTATTTTTAAGGG